GCCCCCCTGTTCACCAAGCGTTTTTTCTGAACAGCAGCGTCTTTTTTCAACTGTTTCAATGAGTAGAGAGTCTGCAGCAGCAGAAGGCGGCCGACAGGAGAAAAAGCTCAGCGCCCAGCGTCATGCAAGAGCTGCTGCCAACGCTCTCTCCTCATTGAAAACAGTTTAAAACGGACGCTGACGCTCAGAGAAAAACGCTAAGTGGACACGGGGCTCTTCGAGTTTTCTGCGTTGGTGAAGTTCTGTTTTTAAGGCCGCAGGTTAAAGGTGTAATACATACGTGTTGTTATCAGATCAGAACTCATCATCCAGCCTGTTTTTAACTTCTAACTTTTCTTCCAGAGACGAGTTCATCGGCGAGCAGCTACACCTCCGAGTTCAACAAACGGCTCCTCAGCACGTATATCTGTGAGTGCAGAAGAAGAAGGTGAACGTCTCTGGTCTGTGATTGGCTCTTGTTGGAGTCTGATGGTATCACCTTGTTTCTCCTCTCAGGTAAGGTTTTGGGGAACCTGCAGCTCAACCTGCTCAGTAAATCCAAAGTGTACGAGGACTCGGCTCTGAGCGCTATCTTCCTGCACAACAACTACAACTACATCCTGAAGTCGCTGGAGAAGTGAGTCGTTAACATTTAGTGACAGAAATGTGAAACTATGATCACCTGTTGAACACCTGAAGGGGGTGCTAAACACGTTAACACAAGCAGGCCGTAGCTCAGACAGTCAGAGTTTCTCCTCCAGCCTCTTAGTGTTTATCCTGGTTGGCCCCCACTCGGCCGTTTTGGACGCCCCTCGGTTTGTCAGATATGAGAGCAGTTATCAGGTCAACAGGTGTTGCAGCGATGGAAGCGGTCAAGAGAAGTGGTTCAGATAGAAGTGATTGTACCCGACCTAAAAAGCCTCTGCATGTTTCTAATAAGCTCCACGAGCAGAAACGTGCTCAAACTAGGATCAATATTGGAGATGCTTTTGCTTTTTTTCAGACTTTTTAAGTGTCCCTCGGTCTGTTTCAGGTCCGAGCTCATCCAGCTGGTGACGGTGACGCAGAAGAAAGCGGAGAGTTCGTACAGAGAGCTGATCGAGCAGCAGATCTACATGTACAAGAGCAGGTAACCACGCTGCTCACACAAACTCTACTACATCCTGATAAACCTGAGAATGTTCTGACTCATCTCTGTCTGCGTGTCACAGCTGGGTGAAGGTCACCGAGCACCTGACGGACAGGAACATGCCCGTCTTTCAGCCCGGCACCAAGGTCAGAACTTGATTTGATTCTCTCTCTCTCTCTCTCAGATTCTGGTGCGGACCAGTTTTTTTTAAAGCAGAGGCGCAGTGAGGCCCCCGATGTCTCTCTGACGGGTCATCACTGATGTGTTCAAACTTTAATGTTCATACAGAGCGGGACCTGAACATCAGAGACCCCTCTTTAATATCTCAGTTATTTCAGGGTCTTAAAGTACGAGCATATTTTAGTAGTTGTAGTCATTTTTATTTCGGTCAACATACAAAGTTCTCCACTAGGAAATACGCAGAAATGCTAGAACAAAAATACAAAATCCACAAAGGCATTCATGAAAAGACAAGAAAACTAAAAAAAACCATTTTGACCAGAAAGGTGTCGGCTGAAGCTTTAGCTTATTATACCTACCCTTGTTACAAATCGTATTATTTAAGACACTACTAGTTTGGTTACAAAAAAAAGAACACATCAGAACTTTTTTTTGTATGTTTTCTTTTGTACATTTTTTTAAAACATTTTTTGTACATTTCTTCTTTACATTATTTTGTACATTTTTTGTTGTTGTACATTTTTAAAAAATGTTTAATTTAAATTGTACTGTGTTCACTTTTTGTTTGCAATCTTTGCTCTTTGCTGTTGTCACAATGTACATTTCCCCGTTGTGGGATAAAGAAAGGATTATCTTATCTTAACAAAATTTGTTCCGACTCAAACGGTTTTGAGCAGATTTGAGATCTACTAGATCGCTGAATTTTAAAGCGTGTATGTTTAAAAAAATAGTGCATTCGTTGGTTTGTAATAATCAGATCTATTTACAATGCTTATAGCTTTTTTTCTGTAGCATGGAAATGGGATGAGTGTTGGTTTTGTATGAGTTCCCCCAGACCTCCACACAGTAATGTATGGAACTATGAGTGCACAATACAATATATACAGTGAGTTTTGAGTCAGGAATTCTTTAGTTTTACAAAGTGTTGCAATGGTTTGAGACATTTTTGTTTATGCATTATTAATGTAAAACATCATTTATGATCAATTATCACCCCCAGAAATGTATGCTCATTCACTCTATCTATCTCAACATCATCAATCATCATTTTTACTTGCTTATCACCAAATACGATGAACTTTGTTTGATTTAAATTCAGTGACAACTTGTTGATGTCAAACCATTTCTTAATGGTATTTCATGAGATGTGTAGAAAAAAAAGATTCAGTCGGAGGCCTTGGTGGTCCCTGTGATCGATGTAACCGAGTTTCTCTGCTTCCTGCAGCTGAAGGATAAGGAGCGCCAGGTGATAAAAGACAAATTCAAGGTGAGTTTCACTCGTCCTCCAACACAAACCCGAGAGCCTCACAGTCGTAATGTGACCGTGAGAAACAAACAAACAGACAACTCTTTTTTCTTCAGGGTTTTAACGACGGCCTGGAGGAGTTGTGTAAGATCCAGAAGGGCTGGGCCATCCCGGACAAAGAGCAGCGAGACTTCATCCGTCAGTCTCAGAAGAGAGTGGTGTCTGACGCCTACAGGAGCTTCCTGCAGAGGTGAGAGCGAGCATGACTTTTCATCAAACCTCTAGCAGTGCTGCCCCCTACTGGCCAACCGGCCCCAAGCTGTTATCTGCCCTGTGATTGGTCCACATATTCTCCTCTCCTGGACACAGAGTCAAACAAAGATAAACATGATCTTTACATCTTGAACCTCTTGTGTTTTTAACGTAGGCTAACAAGTAGCATGAGCTAACTATGCTATCGACTTGACCTTTTTATGATTTATTTTTGGGCTTTTTTTTGTGCCTTTAATGGAGAGACAGGACAGTGGATAGAGTTTGAAATCAGGGAGAGAGAGTTGGGAATGACATGCAGGAAAGGAGCCACAGGCTGGACTCGAACCCGGGCCGCCCGCCCAGGGTGCGCGCACTAACCACTGCTCCACCAGCGCCCCAGACTTGTACACTCGTCTCCTCTCTTCTTCTTCTTCTTCTTCTTCTTCTTCTTCTGTACTATAACTTCAGTGTGATCAAGTGCTGCTCCACACCTATCATCTCCAGCTCCTAAACAATACGCTCAGCTTCAGTCGCCATGGTTACCTGCAGAGAAACATGAGGACCTGATACTGAAAGTGCAGAGCTAGGCCGACACATCAACACATGTGCTCATGAGAGGCTTTAGAATAAAAAAGTAGAAACTGGAATGCAGCATTATATCAGCGTTCTAGATCTTTCCCCCGTTCCAGCCAATCAGAGCCCTCCTTGCTCTTCACACTGACAGCTTCTCGTTCCTCTTTTGTGTCTTCCAGATGTGCCAACATCTCGTTCACCAAGAACCCGGAGAAGTATCACAAGTATCGAGTGGAGGAGGTGGAGGAGATGATCGAGAGGCTGTTCGACACGTCCGCCTGATTAGCCCCGCCCCCTCATCCTCACGCTCTCCAAACAGACGTCTCCCTGAACACAACACGAGCTGCTCCCCCTCCCCCCTCCCCCTCCTCTCTCTCTTTGTGTCTGAATGTTTTGTACAAAGAAACCAACCTGATGTATTTATGTAATGTAGCCGCCACAGCTTCACATTTCAAACTAGTAAAAGGAAATGAGAGGATGTTTGTTTTATTTCAGTCACATAAAGAGGAAAACACAGAGCTGAACACATCAGACTGAGCTGTTTCATTTGCACTTCACAAGAGGGGCAGATATGATGAGATTAGTCTTCTTTCTGATCCTTTTCATTCAAAATTTGAGATTTTATGTTTGTTTGTTTTTTTCTTAACTTTATTGTTTGTTTGAATGAAATAACATTTACAAATAAAAACAATCTCAGCATTCGTTTCCAGAAACAGCTGCTCCTTCCTGAACGTCCGCTGAGGTCAACGACAGAAGAAACGCATCGTTAAGGAGCAGACAGAGAACATGGTAACGAGAATTCAGGGTGTTTTTTGTTTTTACTGCAAGAGAAACGTTAGAAATACTGTCAATGAGATGATTTATTTTTTTATTACTCTTTATTGAAAATTTCAATACAACACACAATACCCCCACCCCAAGTGACCAAACAGTATATTCGACTAAACAGAGAATTACAGAACAATATAGAAAACAAATGAATAATAATTAAAAAAAAATAGCAATGTAAAAAATAAACTAAAAAAAACTATATATATGTAAATTTACATGCTCTTACACTCTTGCACATAAATGTATATACACAAAAGGAAATAATAATAATAAGAGATATCAGACTTAAATTAAAAAACAACTACAATAACATAAATTTATTATATGAATTCAGAAAAAATAAATGGTGTATTTGATGATTAGTGTCAAAGTCTGTAACTGAAAAACTCCAGTTTCACATGAATGTAACAGTGTGATGTCACAGGGACAGACGAGCGTGCTCAGTCGATCCCACATCTGATCCAGTGGAGACAGGACGGTGGATAGAGTCAGAAATCAGGGAGAGAGAGAGAGCGGGAAAAGGAGCCACAGGTCGGATTTGAAGAGAGACCAAAGACAGATTTGAACCCAGGCCACCTGCTTCGAGGAACATCGCACTAAACACTAGGCCACCGGCTTCCTTTTTTTATTTAGTTGTTTATTTAAGATATTTTTCGGGCATTTTCTTGCCTTTATTGGAGAGGACAGCTGAACTGTATCCACTCCTAAACTCACCTGCTGCGCTCTCATTGGCTGGAGGAAACACACCAGCTCCGCCCAGAAACGTCCCAAGTCAACCAGAACAAATCAGAACAGTAAAATCCAGTCAGAGGACAGAGTCTCTGCAGACACAGTCACCACCACACATGTACGGAGGCCCAGAAGGGACAAATGAAGAAGCCTACTGACTCTTTATTCAAAGTGACTTCTTTCAGTCGATGACAGCAGCTGTCACTTGTTGCTAGGCAGACACAGACAGCGGTTACATCACAGCTTGATTATTATGTTGTGTAGTGCACCATCATGGAAATACAAAGACACCTTTTCTCATATCTCACATTACAACAACAACAACAACACTCAGGTTTCCAGAAACAGTGAATCATCATGCAGCAGATTCTTAAAAAAGTCTAAACAGACACAGACGACAGCGAGGCTCTCTGAGGTCCACGCTGATACATCGAGTCACACAACAGATAAGAAATGATGCTGAAGGGAATGGAAGTCTGATGCTTACATAACATCCAATCCCTCCATCTTAGAGCCCACCCAGGAACATTTAGACTATATTGTTCAACCCCAAAACCTCCTGAGTCTCATGAGCCTTTAGCAGGGGCAATTCTAGAGTCTGTTGGGGCCCTCTGCAAAAATCAATCAGATGGGGCCCCCTTAGGGAGGTTTCTGTCCTGTCGTTTTCCACATGTCGCCTTCCTCTCAAAAAGAATCCAGACTCGAGACGTCTACGTCCAACTCTTTCAGAATGTGATGCACCTCAAAGAGTTTCTAGGTATGCATCTATGTTCAGTTGGCGCCTCCTCCTCTTCTTAAAGGTCAAAGGTCGTCGTCTTTACTTGGACGTCTCCTCACTGCTCGCCGTGTTCACCGGCTGCACCGCGTGCACCTTGTTGACGGCGTCCCTCGTCCTCGGCGAGCAGGTGAACACCTTCCTGAAGCCTTTCCTGAAGTGCTTGGAGACGAGCGCGTACACGACGGGGTTGAGGCAGGAGTTGGCGTACGCCAGCAGGTGCGAGAGGATCCGCAGGACGTAGGTGGCGTGGTTGAGCGGGAAGCGGCCGGACCACATGCAGAGGACGACGAGGTGGTGAGGCAGCCAGCAGACGCAGAAGAGAGCGGCCACGACCACGATCATCTTGGTGACCTTGCGCTTGGCTCGCCGCGACTCTGACGCGTCCTTCACGGGGTCCACGCTCGTCCACAGGTGGCGGACGGTGCGGGCGTAGGTGAGGCCGAGCACCAGGATGGGGACGAGGTAGCCGAAGACGAATGTGCACACGTCCATGACGAAGCGTGGTTTGGACTCCCAGGCCGGGATGCACAGCACGGCGCCCGCAAGCTCCATCTGAGTGAAGTAACTGAGGTACGGAGCGGAGAACAGCAACGCCAAGAGCCAGAGCAGCACGATGGAGGCAATGGCGTTCTTTGGCGTCCTCATCTGTCTGGAGCGGAGCGGGTAGCAGATGGCCAAGTACCTGAAAGGTCAAAGGTCAAAGGAAGACAGCGTTCAGGTTAGTTTGAATTTATCATTAATAATCCTTCCAGTTAAGTTAGAAAACACTGTTTCTGGGGCGCTGGTGGTTAATGCGCACACCCCATGTACAGAGGCTGTAGTCTTCATAGCTGGCGGTCCAGGTTCAAATCCCACCTGTGGCTCCTTTCCTGCATGTCATTCCACTCTCTCTCTCTGATTTTTGACTCTATCCACTGTCATAACTCTCCATTAAAAGCACAAAAATAAATCTTATAATATGTCATTGTGAAATCAAATGACTGTTTCTCTGGTTTAAATAGACCCTGCATTACGATGGATGATGCAACATCCAAAATATTCAGAGCTCCCCCTGCTGGCTGGCTGCAGTATAGGTCATAAACCTCGCCTTGGGATACAGGTCAAACTTTAAACACGTCAAAGAAAAGTTTATGTTACCGACGAATAACAAAGTTGACTTCGACTGTATGCAGACGACACTGTAATGTATCTTCACCAAAATTTTTGTAGAAACGATCCGCACTGTGAGAATATTTGAATATTCAATGTCAAAAAAAAACAAAACCACTCTTTCTTGCTTTGGTTCAAACTTGGAGATCTAACTACGTTTATTTCACAACCTTCTCCGGGAACAGCGTCTGAAATAACTTCACTCCTCCTGCCTCAAAGGTGGAACCAGCTCCACAGCTGACCACCTCACAGTGCAATATTAACCTTAAAAACAAAAAACAATTATATAATGTGAAAAAATGTGTGCAATAACTTCAGGTGCAATAAGAGATGTAGAAAGTAGAGACAAGAAAACATAATTTATATTTTCATGTCATTGTACAGTCCCCCCCCCCCCCTGCAAGCTGCAGGTTATGGAGTTGATTGAAGATTTTTCTACTGAATGATTTTCATTTCCTCCCGTGTATTATCTATATTATCTAACACTGCAGTGACTTCTGGAGCACGATCATTAAAAACAGGAAATGAATGAATATCTGAAATCAGTGCAGTCTGACTCTGTGTGTTTTACTCACCAGGACACTAATTGAGCTTTGCCTGTCAGTGGTGATGGTTTGTTTGTGTGTGTGAGTGTTCATCACTCAGTGCTGATTGGAGGAAAGCTGAGTTATGAAACAAAGTGAAGAGCACATTTCCCCTTTTTTTAAAACTAAAAGAGAGACGAAACACAAAAGTTTAAAATCTCTTTTTCTCTTGATTGCTCAGCAGGTGAGTCATAAAACGCTTCTCTCTGACAACATTAGGATCTGATCAGGTGTTTTTTATTCTTACCTGTCCACGGAGACAGCGGTCAGCGTGAAGATGCTCGCGTACATGGTGAGATAAATGATGAAGTGAACGACTTTACACACCACGGCGCCGAACACCCACTGGTCCAGAGTGTAGATGGTGGCCTGGAAGGGCACGCAGAACACGATGAAGCACAGGTCCGCTATCCCGAGGTTCAGGATGAACAGGTTGGTGGTCTTCATCTGTCCGTTACGAAAGAGCACCGCGAGCACCAGAGAGTTCCCCACCGTGCCCACGAGGAAGATGAGCGTGAAGCCCACAGAGATGAGCACGGACTCCGCTCTCCACGAGGAGGAGGAGGAGGAGGAGGAGGAGAGGTCCATCTTCATGTGGTCACTCATCACTCACACCACACCGGTCACATATCAGTCCATCAACGTGAACTCTCGGCTCGTGGAGACACGCGCGTCTGCTTTACGCGCGCGCTGCGTTTCCACCCAAACGACTGACCCGCGTGAAGCATTTAATAGAAGACTGTTAAACACCCAGAGAGGGTTTGAATGAGATGCATTAACCTCTGTCACTTTAACCCCTTAAAGACAAAAGACAAAGATTGCAGTTGTTTTTTGAATTTTCAAAATAAAATAGAAAATTAATTACAAGAATATTATTACATTCTTTTAATTAAATTCGGGGAAACAGATGAACAGCAGCCTGTCACACCTTCATCAGAATTAACACATTAAATTAAAGTAATTGATTTACTTCTGTGTCTGAGGAGTATTAGGGGATTTTCTTTTGTAAAATTCGTGATTAAAGTCGTTATTTTATTCTCTATCAGAAAAGCAGCAGCTGCCTGTTCCACAAACGTGGAGCATGTTGGGAAGTTATATTTTAGTAAAGGTTTCACTAATCAGAATCAGAAGCTTTATTGGCCAGGTATGCTTAAACACAAAAGGACTTTTACTTTGGTAAACTGTGCTCTCTTTGTACAAAGGTGTAATATTAAATATCAACAATAAACACAAAAATAAACAAACAGAGTAAACATGAGGTAGATACTTCCGGTGCAGTCTGTAAAACAAGAGTTGAAAAAAAATATCCCATTAGTTGTGTCGGAGCTTTACGTATGCAGATGTGAAACTACAAATGCATTTGGCACATCATCATCATCATCATCATCATCATCATCATCACATTGCCATTAAATATTTTCAGAATAAAAGAACCCCGCTGACTGGGAGGAAATCGTCTCTTTTGTGGCAGAGAAAAAGGCTTTAAGGATTCTATTCTCATCATTTTCTCGCGGGCGGATGGCTGATCTTCTGATTGGCTACAACCTTTCAGAATAATCATTTTAAACACAGCCCGATTTAAACTGATTAACGAATTTCATAACTTAAAAAAAGGATTTTAATCCCCTAAAAGTAAATCTTTAATCTGGAACATTTAGAAACAAAATGTGGCCCTGTAACACTCACAAGCAGTCTCCTGTTGAGGTTTTTTTCACTCACCTGTTGAGTCTCATGGTTTCATTTGAGTGTGAGAGCAGTCTGCCCCCCTGTGGTCACAGTGAAGTACTGCAGTGTTGACCAATGACAGAAGAGTGAAGGCCGGAAGTGTTTCCTCTTAGAGCTGCCATCAGACTGTTTCATGAGGAATACAGACACACACAGGACAGATTCATCTGCTCATATTTACACATGTGTTTATATATAATATATATAATATATTATATCTTGCACTTTCTGCTTATCTGCTTATTTGCACTTCTGGTGAGATGCCAAACCTCATTTCGTTACTCTATACTTGTATATGTGTAATGACAATAAAGTTGAATCTCATCTCATCTCATATAAGGGCCATTCTACCGAATTGGTTTAAAGTCAGGTTGGAAATATTTTGACATTTTTTAAGTTTTATTCCCAATTTTTTTCCATTATATATATTGTTCCATATCTGAAGTACATGTATCTAATAAAAGAATCATCAAATTTGATATTGTATTTTTAGACTGTTTTGGAATGTTTTTCCTCTCCCCAAATTTGTCACAACCAAAACATAAACTATGATAAAAACAATATTATGTTAACCTGTTAGTATTATGTTTACTTCCCTTCCTGATTTATGAGATGGAACATACAGTTAACCAATCAGTATCATAACATTTTAGTTGATAACTCAATATATAAACTAATAAAACAGAGGTTGTCATCTCTGCTCCTGAGCATGTTGTTGGTTTCCTTTCCTCTCCTGTTAAACCTGTGCTAGGGGTCCAAAGTGGTCAGGCTCTGAGTCTGGACCATCATGTGAACAGTTCGTCCTGCTCCTTTAAGAAACATAACTAAACTCAGACGTG